CTACGGCTGTGTGCCAAATATTTTTTAAAGTTTTTCAGTATCCAAATAGTATGGACTCGGAAACTATCCTAAATCATAAACCTTCAAAAAGGCCGCGTTTACAATGACATCCGTGTCAAGCAGATTTGAGATATTAAGGAGGATTTGGTGAGATTGAGTGGAAATCTTTTTTGATTTTAAGGTATTAGGAGAGTAGAGCTATTAAGGGAGATATCGATTAACAAAGGAGGATAACGATTATGGTAGATAGCAAGAATCTACGGAGATATCGGGGAATTAAAAGAGATATAGATGATAGATACATCACATAATCCCGGGTTTTAAGCGACGAACGGGATTACCGGGATTAATCCGGCGAGATCACTCCCATTCGATCTTTTAAAAATGAATCGCGTTACGGGATCCCAGTAATACGATTTTGCAGCACTCTAAAAAATATTCTCTATTTGGTATAAAGTGGAAAAATATCTTTAATTTATTTTTCGTATGGGACGTGTGGTTAAATGTTAAGGTGTTAGACTTCGTTCAAGTTATTGTTCAATTAAGTTTGGTCCTCCTATTATTAAGGACCTTTTTATTTTTATATTTTAGTTAGTTTTAAGAATTTTGAGGATATTTTTTTCCTTATTTTTATTAAAGGGTATTTTTTGACTAAAAACTCCGTTATAAAAATTCTAAATTTTGCATCGAGATTTTTAGGAATTGAACTTTAATAAAATAGGTAGTTAAAAATCTAATAAAATACTACATTTTATAAAGCAAAAAATAATTTAACAAAAAATTATACACAATTAAATTACAAAAATTTGGGTATTGTTTGGGATAGGACAGGTGCGTGAAAACCGGACATTTTTCGACCCAAAATCAGAAACCTGACCCGAAGAAAATTTTGAAACCCCAATCTGAAACTCTACCCGACTTTTTTCTCAACCCGTACCATCCCTGTAAATAATATAAGTTCTATGAAAATTTATCACATCATCTCTCTACATTCTTGTTATAAAAACTGAACCACTCAACTTATTGAATGAAAATCTCACTTTTGGATTGTAAATATTGGCAATTTCATATCTAATAAGGCTCGATTCCCAACGATTTTGAACATTTTCTGCTCTCTTGTTTAATTTAAAATCTTGAAAAGGAATATCCAAACCAATTTCAGACACCATTTTTGAACAATCTTTGGAAGTTATTATATACTAAAATATTTAAAAATTATTTTTAATTTTAAATAAACAATTTACTTCAACAATAAGATCATAAAGCTTTGGAAATACAGGAGATCGTAAAACAATTTTTGAAAATTTATTGCCTTCGTTTATTAAAATATTGAATAAAATATCTGTATATTGCACAAAATTTGTGATGTTAAAAATATTTAAAGTAAGATATGTTGAATTGACCAGATGATTTAAAGTGAAGTCCAAAAAATTGTCGAATGTATCGCTTTTAAAAATAACATAAGGTTCTTGTATGTTGAATTGAGGAGAAATTGTTTTGTCGTCATCAAATAAACTGAGCATTTCTGGGTTAAATATAGTATAAGTAAATCTTCCTTCTTTAACAGAACAGTTAAAAAGTTGTTTTAACCCAGATCGAATAATAATCATTTCTTCAATATTTTTTGGAACGTTTGGCATTTTTAAAAGATAATTGGGTCTGTCCAGGCGAATACTGAATTCTGTGCATTTATTATAATATTCAATGTTATGTAAAAACAACGGAATTTCTTTAGCTATCCCTGCTTCCCACTGAAAAATAAATTGAAATTTAATTAATTGAAATCAATTAAACACCTTCTCCAAAAGTTGATCATTCAAAATAAATTCAGAAATTACAGATTCAGGTGCAATAATTTTATAACCCTCTTCTTGGAAACTTATCAAGTCGTAATTATCCTAAAATAAAAATTAAAGCGAGTCTTATAATTAGGAATAGATTTTGACAAATTTCGTTGGGAAGTTCGAAAGACTCCTTGGATCCCAAAGTCATCTCAATACGATTTAAATGGACTCGGTTATGACCAGTTGAAACGAACCCAATGAAGCTCGGAAAGCTCTTTCGAATGATTGTCAAAATCTATTCCTGTTTGATAGTGGATGGAAACTAGCAAGTTAATAAATATTTACAATTTCGAGCCGACCAAATTCCATTCGAGCCAATCCATTTTCATATTTATTAATTAAATTGCGCAGGTAAAAGTTGGTTTGTTTAACAGAAAATAATTGATTGAAATTAAGACATTTTAAGACGTCAAATTGAACTTCAACTGGTAGAGAATAAAACATTTTTAAATTTATCTAAAAATAGAAAAAATTGAAAGTAAAATCAGAATAGCGTGGGTTTATTGTAAAAAAGATAAATGAGGAGAGTAAACACGGAAATAACGAAAGACAGACGTTAACTGTCAGAAGATAATCAAGACTGACTGATGATAACGACTGTTTTTATACTTGCTTTTATAGTAGACGTCTTTCCTAGACTAAGCAATATTTTTAATCAGCGTTGTTCACTACGGGTTAATAGCCGATTCCCCCGGTTTTTGGTAATTTTTGGCTAAATTATTCATCCATAATATCCAATTCATATTTTGTCATGTCAAAATGATTTGATGAAAAAATATTACAAACTAAGATTACCTTGCTCCTCAAATAGGACTGCCGGCGGTACATTTGTCAATCCTCCTCTAAAGGGAATTACTAAGTGTGGGGCAACTTTTTTCAACACTTTTTTCGAAATTATCTGAATACTTTTTTTGGTTGTGCCGCCTGGAACTACGGCTGTGTGTCAAATATTTTTTAAAGTTTTTCAGTATCCAAATAGTATGGACTCGGAAACTATCCTAAATCAAAAACCTTCAAAAAGGCCGCGTTTACAATGACATCCGTGTTAAGCAGATTTGAGATATTAAGGAGGATTTGGTGAGATTGAGTGGAAATCTTTTTTGATTTTAAGGTATTAGGAGAGTAGAGCTATTAAGGGAAATATCGATTAACAAAGGAGGATAACGATTATGGTAAATAGCAAGAATCTACGGAGATATCGGGGAATTAAAAGAGATATTGTTGGCAAGGGAGTTTGGGAATCAAGAGGAGAACAATAGTCCGTGTGAGGATGGACTATCCACGCGTTGCTCTCCGAGCCAAGCCACAAAAGTATTGAAAAGGAAGGGGAGAAGGGCTGACCACCAACAGTCGACTGGAGAGTTGTTGTTACACAGCATCTTAAAATAGGCAGAGGCTGTTACTCGCCTTTCAGTGATGTTTCAGCACTATGGTTTCAGTGCCAGGATTTCAGTGCCAGGGTTTCAGTGTGTGCTCTATTTAAGTGAATATGAATTGTATGCAATTATTAAAATGGAATGTTAATCATTTTATTTAACATTTAAAGGCATTTTAAATTAAAATTAAATTTTTCAAAATAGGTTTTTCCCTTTATTTTTCATTTTCTAAATTTAGTTACAAACCCATGTGTAACTTTTATAAAACATGTGAAAAAACGATAAATTTGGTTTTAAAACAAAGATAAGACTTTGTTTAACGATTTAGTTAAGATAAAATTTTTTTTCAAAGTTTTTTTTCGAGATAAAACTTCTCGAAGTTGCAACCTCTAAATCTTAAGAAAATAGCACGCGAAAGAAATAGTGGGGAAAAGAAAAAGATACTGTATTTTTATTTTTTCAGTGCCACTGAAACGGCTTAAAGTAACAGGTTAAGATGCTGTGTTGTTACCTTTCTGTTGTTGCAGTCGACTAATTGATAGTCGACTAAAGAGGAGTCGACTAATTGATAGTCGACTAATGGAGAGTCGACTAATTGATAGTCGACTAAGGAATAGTCGACTAAGGAATAGTCGACTAATTGAGAGTCGACTAAAGAACAGTCGACTAATTGAGTCGACTAATGAAGAAATGATGAAGAGACGACAATAAAAAGAACACAAACAAATCTAAATTTATTTCAGTAGTAAACGCAAATAAAATATTGTAAGGGACAAAAGGGTGAGAAGGGCAACTGGTGAATCGCGAATGAATGAATGAACCCGAAATAGAGTAAAAGGCAAAGCCTTAAATAAGAGGCTGGCAGGTCTACCTGGGTGTGGCTTATTCCGACCAGCCAGCTAGTAAAAAGGGGCGTGGTTAACAATAAAATGTGAAGAAAAGGAAATAGTGAGAAAACTGACAACGCGTGTAAAAACAAACACAAATTAGAGAAATAGGCGAAATATAAGGTAAAATTAGGAAAGGGAAAAACCCTATGAAAAAGGTGACATTTGAGTCGCCTGTCGGCGACAGATATAGATGATAGATACATCACATAATCCCGGGTTTTAAGCGACGAACGGGATTACCGGGATTAATCCGGCGAGATCACTCCCATTCGATCTTTTAAAAATGAATCGCGTTACGGGATCCCAGTAATACGATTTTGCAGCACTCTAAAAAATATTCTCTATTTGGTATAAAGTGGAAAAATATCTTTAATTTATTTTTCGTATGGGACGTGTGGTTAAATGTTAAGGTGTTAGACTTCGTTCAAGTTATTGTTCAATTAAGTTTGGTCCTCCTATGTATTATTAAGATGCTTTTTATTTTTATATTTTAGTTAGTTTTAAGAATTTTGAGGATATTTTTTTCCTTATTTTTATTAAAGGGTATTTTTTGACTAAAAACTCCGTTATAAAAATTCTAATTTTTGCATCGAGATTTTTAGGAATTGAACTATTAATAAAATAGGTAGTTAAAAATCTAATAAAATACTACATTTTATAAAGCAAAAAATAATTTAACAAAAAATTATACACAATTAAATTACAAAAATTTGGGTATTGTATGGGGTAGGACAAGTGCGTGAAAACCGGACATTTTTCGACCCAAAATCCGAAACCTGACTCGAAGAAAATTTTAAAACCCCAATCTGAAACTCTACCCGACTTTTTTCTCAACCCGTCCCATCCCTGTAAATAATATAAGTTCTATGAAAATTTATCACATCATCTCTCTACATTCTTGTTATAAAAACTGAACCACTCAACTTATTGAATGAAAATCTCACTTTTGGATTGTAAATATTGGCGATTTGGTATCTAATAAGGCGAGATTCCCAACGATTTTGAACATTTTCTGCTCTCTTGTCTAATTTAAAATCTTGAAAAGGAACATCCAAACCAATTTCAGACACCATTTTTGAACAGTCTTTGGAAGTTATTATATACTAAAATTTAAAAATTTATTTTTTATTAAACTTTAATAATTTACTTCAACAATAAGATCATAAAGCTTTGGAAATTCATAAGATTGTAAAATAATTTTAGGAAATTTGTTGCCTTCATTTGTTAAAATATTGAATAAAATATCTGCATATTCCTCAAAATTCCTGATGTAAAATATATCTAGAATAAGATATGTCGAATTGGCCAGATGATTTAAAGTGAATTTCAAAAAGTCATCAAAAGTATTGTTTTTGAGAACAACATAAGGCTGTTGTATGTTGAATTGAGGAGAAATTGTTTTGTCGTTATCAAATAATAAATTGAGCATTTCTGGATTGAATATAGTTGCGTTAAATCCTCCTTCTTTAAAAGCACACTTAAAAAGTTGCTCTAACCAAAACCGAATAATATGCATTTCCTGAATATTTTTTGGAATGTTTGGCAATTTTAAAAGATAGGTTGGATTCAAATAAATGCTAAATTCCGCATCTTCACTATATCCAATACGATGTAAACACAGCGGAATTTTTTTAGCTATAGCTGCTTTCCACTAAAAAATAAATTAAATTTAATTAATTTAAAATCAATTAAACACCTTCTCCATAAGCTGATCATTCAAAATAAATTCAGAAGTTACAGATTCAGCTGCAATAATTTTGTAATCATAGGAATCGAACAAATCGTTAGTATCCTAAAATTAAATCGCGTTTTACTTACAAGGAATAAACTTCGACAAATGTCATTCGAAAGAGCTCGCTGAGGTGACCAGTTTAACCGGTGGCCATGGCAAGACATGACCTTTGACTTCCGTAGTAGCAGTTCGTTCGGTTATCAAAAATCATTGAATTCCCGATGTCATTCGACTAGAAGAGCTTTTCCGTTTGACTTTTGTCCAAATTTATTCACGGTTAGTAAAATGTGAAGGAATAATTAACAATTTAATAAGCATTTACTATTTTGAGTTCATCAAATTTCATTAGAGCCAATCCATTTTCATATTTATTAATTAAATTGAGCGAATAAAAGTTGGTTTGTTTAAAAGAAAATAATTGGAACTTATATGGTTTAGGTGCGCTTTTTTTAGCCACGCCCTTTTTTCCTTTTCCTTCATCAATCAACATTGATATGGACAGAATGGTCAACCTTTCTTTCTTCCTCAATTTCACTCAACTTTTCCTGTGGCATTTTCAGTGAGAGACATTAACAAGGAAAAGATTAATTTTCTTTTCCAATTTCACCAAAATAGAATTAACATTTGAATCAATATTCTTAATTTTATCTATTTCTATTATTTAAATGGCATAAGTATCCCGGGTCTACGTTTTGGAACTAATGGTCCGGTATTTCATTGTGTTTTTCAGTTTTTGCGTGTTTGAAATCATATTTTTTTACAAAATGCTGACCGTTTTTACCCCTTTTAGAAATTTTTGGACCCGTGTAATTCAGCTCAGTGATCTCACGGACCTATTTTAGTGCCATTCGTCTCAGCCCAGCTCGATGATGTCATCCGAGTCAGCTCTATGTCATCCGAGTCAGCTCTATATTTTAAGCAAAAATTGACCTGGTTGAGAGGGAAAATAAGTAAAAGAATAATGACGGAAAAAGAAAAAAAGGGCGTCAGGAAAAGTTGAGTGAAATTGAGGGAGAAAGAAAGGTTGACCATTCTGTCAATATCAATGTTGATTGATGCAGGAAAAGGAAAAAAGGGCGTGGCTAAAAAAAGCGCACCTAAACCATATAAGTTCCAAATAATTGGTTGAAATTAAGACATTTTAAGACATCAAGTTGAACTTCAATTGGTAGAGAATAAAACATTTTTAAATTTATCTAAAAATGAAACAAATTGAATTTATTTAAAATCATAAAAAATAAAAAAATTAAAACATGCAGAGCAGTAAACGAAAATAATGACGGAAAAGCGTCAACTGTCGGATGTTGACTAAGACTGACTATAACGACTGATTTTATACTTGCTTTTATACTAGACTCCTTTACCTACAATTTCAGCAATATTTTAAACATTTACATACTTTTATGATTTATCATATCAGTTTAGTTTTTCTGGTACTTGTGAGTTATCCCAAACCAGTTTTTGCGGACATATTTTGCGGACTATTTTGTATACACAGAATGGTCAGTCTTCCTCCTTTCCTCAATTTCACTATATTTCACTATGGCATTATTTAATGAGAGGCAATAAAGAAAGGATTATTTTTAAATATAAATGACCGATTTTCAAATCATGTTTACCTCTCATTGAATAATGCCATAGTGACCTCTTTCCTCCATTTCACTGTGTTAATAGAGGCAATAAAGAGAGGCAACAAAAAAAGGATTATTTTTCTGGAATGCCATCAAATATGAAAATAACAGATCAATCTTTTCATTTTTATTTACACATTTCAGTCATTTAGAAATATTTTTCTAGGATGATAAGCACCAAACTCCGCATTTTAAACTAATGGTCCTCGCGTGCATACCTTAACAGAGTCTTACCAAATTAACCAAACACGGCCAAGAACAGCTTCATATTTTTGACAAATCTAACCAATTATGGTATCAATCCACTCAAAATGATCAAGGATTCCGTAAAAAAGGGGTGGGGATAAACTACTATTGCCGAAAAGCCTCACTGAAAGCACGGATCGGTCCACATTTTGTTTAGTCCGTATTTTGGTCGTTCCATGATTTGGTAAGACTGTGATTTGTCACGGTTTTTGTGGACGTATTTTGCGGACTCTTTTGTATATACAGAATGGTCAGTCTTCCTCCTTTCCTCAATTGCACTCTATTTCACTATGGCATTATTCAATGAGAGGTAAACATGATTTGAAAATCGGTCATTTATATTTAAAAATAATCCTTTCTTTATTGCCTCTCATTAAATAATGCCATAGTGAAATATAGTGAAATTGAGGAAAGGAGGAAGACTGACCATTCTGTGTATACAAAATAGTCCGCAAAATATGTCCGCAAAAACTGGTTTGGGATAACTCACAAGTACCGTTTTTCTTTATATTTTAAATTTTTGCATTTGTAAAGTTCAAAAATTTATTTTGTTGTCTAATAATTTAAAAAATCTTTGGTAATTCCGAACCTGGCCCCCTTCCTTTTTCCCCTTCCTTCCTCTATTTTTCCCTCCGACATATTAAACTTGAGACATTGATTTTCTCCTTAAATTGGACGGAATGGTAGACTTCTTCCTTCATCAATTCCGCTATACATATTTGTCTGTGTCATATTCAAATGAGAGACAACAAAGAAAAGATTAATTTCTCCCATTAATTCTTTTCAATGGCACTAAATTAGAAATTAATATATGTATCAATATTATTATTTCTTCTATTCCACTTATTTAAATGGCAATAAGTACCCAGCTCTTTTTAAAACTAATGGTCGGTGTGTGCGTGTGTATTATATGTACCTCTGAATGAGTCCAAATCCTATCAAGTATATCCCAAGATATCTCCTCTAATTTTTCCATGTGCCCCTTAATTTCCAAATAAGTTAACAAATAGAACGCGAGTGCATTACTTTTGGAACTTTATTTTTAAAAATTTTTTCCTTAAATTCCGAACCCCAACCATATGTTGCTCCTCCGATCCGAACTCTATCCCGAAACAGTTAACATTTTATTTTTTTCAATTCATTTTATCGGTTCATTTCCTAGAAAATCTTTCACCTTTTTTCCTCCTTTCTAAATCCCCTTAAACATATCTCCTCTAGCTCCTTTTTTCAATTTATTCCCTTTATCTCCTTTTTAATTTCTAACAGATAAATTTATTTTTTAGATTAAAAAATTTTATTTGAAAAAATTATATAAACTTAAAATATGTCCAACAGAACAACAACTTCTAGCAACAAAATTCGTGTTGCAACTGCGCTTGAGTTTCAGGCTGAGGAGCATCTTAAGAATTTGCATGTAATATCTTTTTATTATTTTACCTATTAGGTTATTTATTTAGAGGGAGAAAATGGGCTTTAACCACTTAGCTAAACTCTGATTAAGTTGTTCTATAGGCCTGGAAACTAAAATTACAATAATATTAATTTAAAAATAAATAAGAAAGTTAAACAATATCCGAATAATTATTGAACATAGAAAATAACTTTATTTAAACAATGATTTGTATTCAATTTCAGATTGAAGTAGGTGAACCTACAATGGCTTGCCGAATTGGACCAGTTAAAGAAGATGTTGAATTGACTGCACTATTGGTTCTTTACTTATAATTAGGGGTTTTTAAAAATAATTTTTAGGAGCAGCCAATTAAATTTTAATTTGTTGCAATTCCTCTTCAATTTAACGCAACAGACCCCCATGTAGTTTTTACCAACAATAAATTCGATGTTATTTTGAAATTCGCTTTAAATCATTTGGCCAATTCGTTTCTGTTCACTTTCAATTTATACAAAGTCAATGTAGAGGAACCTACAATGGCTCGCCGAATTGGACTAGTTAAAGAAGGAGCAATAAATTACCTCGAGTTGTTTTAAGATCTTTTGGATTGCCAATGCTTTATGATCTTATTATTGAAGTAAATTGCCGATTAAAATTAAAAATAAATTTTTAAATTTTAGTATAACAACATCTAAAGATTGTTCAAAAATGATTTTTTGCTTACATTTTTGCTTACCCCAAATTTTGAAATTACCTAAATACCCCAAATTACAATTTCGAGCCAACCGAAATACATTCGAGCCAATCCATTTTCATATTTATTAATTAAATTGAGCGAATAAAAGTTGGTTTGTTTAAAAGAAAATAATTGATTGAAATTAAGACATTTTAAGACATCAAATTGAACTTCGATTGGTAGATTGATTGACATAATTTGTCCCAATCAGTCTGTTTATTATTCCGAAATTATGCCTTTATTTAGTTTTTCTCGTTCTTTTTTATAAATTCAGTATAATTTTTCTATAAAATTTTTACAAAAAATTTTTGGGGTGGTAAAAAAGAGCCAAATAATAAAATTAAATTCTACAAAAATTTCTGCCAACATTTTCATCAATACTGACAATGAGTAGAAAAATAAAATGAACGAATCTACAATCTTTGATTTGAAACTTTCTCTAAAAATTGTCGAAAAGAGAAAAATACATAATAAGTAGGGCTCTAAATTATATGTACAAAAAACCAAAAAAAATTAAGCCTTATTTGTTAGAGTATGGGTGGGATTTTTAAAAATTTTTAATTTTTACTCACAATTAAACGACGAATAATGTAATTTTATTCTGTTGTAATAAAATTAATAGGGATGGGGCCAAATCAGAGTAGTTCAGGGTTCGCATCGACAAAATGCCACTCAAAAGTATCAAAATCTCGATAAAAAAGTATATAGGGAGAAAATTTGCAAATAAAAAGTAGTCTCAAAATTAAATTAGAAAATATTTATTCGTCCTCAAATCTTTTATATTTCTCTCCTAAATGAATCTTTTCTAATAATTTCTTGTTTCAACTGAGCATTTTTGTCAATTTCAATGCACCTTTTGTGGCGCCGAAGGTGCCAAAAAATCTATTTTTTTGCGCCGCAGGCGAAAATTTTGAGAATTTTGTAGGTCCTTAAGCCAGAAAATTCACTTTTTTGCCCAATCCATTCCCCAATTTCATTTTCAATCAAAAAAAAAAGTATATACTTTCAAAAAAGTATAAATTCAATTTCGTAAGCATGGAGGTCGATTTAAAAGTAGAATACTTTTAAAAAAGTAGGAATGCGAACCCTGGAGTAGTTGTTTAGTGGGACAAATTGGAATGCTTTAAACAACTAAACTTGCTCAGCGGGATGGAAATGATTAAGTAAAAAAATTAAAACTTTTTGAAATTTTTTAAATTTATTTGAAAAATAACCAAACAAAAAAAAATATTTTAAAAAATTAAACAAACACAAAAAAACATTCTCGATTATTCAATCATTAAATTTTCAACAATTAAATTATCGTCCACCTCTTCTAAACTATCCACCAAAGTTTGACGAACATTCGAATAAAGTTGCATACAACAATCAAAAGCTACTGGAATTATTTGCTGGCAAATAGATAAAGGTAGAGGACAACCACTAAATTCGGTCAAAACAATCTAAAATGAGAAAAGAAATTTTTTTTTATAATTTTCAAAAAATCTTTAAAATTTCAAAAAATTCCAAAATTTTTCTTTAAAAATTTTTAAGCTTAAAAAATTTCAAAAAAAATTTTTTTTTAAAAATACTTGTCCAATAGACGGAATTATTGCCAAAGTTAAAAGTGCTGCCCTAGAAGAATACTTTGCAATTGTAGTTGAGTCTGGATCAAGAATGAAGGCTGGAGGGAAGCCTGGGGGAGATGGGGGTTGTGTTGGTATTAAAATATTACAAGGCAGAAGAATATCAAACCTTAAATAAAGGGGAATTGAGAAAAGTAAAAGGAATTGGATTTGGAATAATTTAAAGTGAGAAAGAAATTAAAAAAAAGGTGAAATGACTGAAAAAGTATAAAATTGAATTATGAAAATTAAATTAAAAAATAATTTTACATAACATTATCATAAATTCATTTTTCGACTCCACCCCAGAATATCGACACCCAAAATATCGACACCCTAAATATCGATACCCAAAATATCGAATGACCCAAAATATCGACACCCAAAATGACGAATTACCCAAAATATCGAAAAGTATTAAAAATCGATAAGCATCAATACTAACTATTAAAAATCGACAAAAAGCATATCGGAACCAGAGTTGGAATTGCTCTACAACATAAAATAAAAATAGCTTTAGATCTAAAAAACTTAAGTCGACAAGGGTAGAGCAGCAAACATTCTTAATTGTTACGAAATCCCTCTTCTTCATCTTGGTATTTTGCTTGCCATTAAAGTTCTTGGATTTTCCTCCAAATGGCTTGCTAATTTTTAAAATAGTTAAAAATTAAATCTTTAATTAAAAAAACCTTAAAAAGGAAAAAACATTCATGAATTTTTGCAGTAGGAACGGCGGTTCGTAAAGCTTGTTCTTCAGACTTCAAAATGACTTGTTTTTGGCCTAGCACCAACATTCATTTAATCAATCTTGTTTAAAATTAAAACCAAAGCTCGTTTGTAACACTCTCTACTCTTTTTAGGAAGCATAGCATAAACAAATGTGAGTCACGTAGCGTCTTAATCCAAAAGTTGTTTCAAGATTCTTCAATTTTAGAAGACTTGCCTTAAATTAAATATTTGTCCGTTTTCAAATTATTAATAAATAAACCTTAACTTCATCAATGATTCCAGCTAATTGCAAATTTACAACTGCCCTTGACTTAGAATAAATAATAAAATCTGAAGAAATTTAGTTGGTCAGTTCGATCGAAAACACAATTCCCCGATGTTGGAACATCATTCCCGATCATTGGAATACATAATTATGAAATTAAAAAATTTTCGATATTTTGGGTAATTCGTCATTTTGGGTGTCGATATTTTGGGTCATTCGATATTTTGGGTATCGATATTTAGGGTGTCGATATTTAGGGTGTCGATATTCTGGGGTGATCCCCATTTTTCATTTCGCTTAAAAGGCATCTTGAAGACTACTGATTTTAAGTACTTCTTCGACAATAACCTTATGAAAACCGCAATTTTTTATTACCCGACGAATAATTTAAATTAATTTTTAAAAATTTAAACATTGAAAGAACCCTTTCCTTTCATTAAATATTTAATAATTAAAATTAAACAAACATTTCAATATTAGCAGATGCAATAGCTAATCCAGAGGCTAATAAACAAGCAGCCAAAACCCCTCCATCGTCTGACAAAACGTTTAATTCCACATCAATTTCCGTCTAAAATGGACAATTTTAAAAAATTAAAAAAAATAAAAAAGCAAACCCTAGCCAATTTTTTAAGACAAACAACGGCTTGGAGAGCGTGTTCAATACTATAACGAAGTGCTGGATCAATTCCGTGAAGAGAAATCTTTAAAAATTAAAAAATTAAGTGACCTGTTAATTAATCTGAAATTTATACATTTAAAAGGCCTTCCAAAGCAGTTTCTCCAGATTGTTGTTCTTTAGGTCCTGTTCTATAAAAAATAAATAAAAACATGGAAAAAATAAGATTAATTAAATTTCCAAGAGCAATTTTTTAAAAACTTCGAAAAAATTTATCGAGAGAAAACCTAAAATTAATTCCTAAACGATCCAAAAATTATCAAACAGGTCTGCCCTGACTACAGAATTCTTTTGCAGCTATCCGGAAATATGCTGCGGATTTGTAAAATCAATTGAGGTAACGAAAAATTATTGACAAATGCGGAAAATTTACTTTCAAGGATTTTTCTCCAACTATCTCAAGTTGGAGAAAAAGCCTGGTCTAGGGTTCTCAAAAAATTTTTCGAATCGTGAAAACGACCCAGTTCCCCGACGTAAATTTAAATTAGTAAAAAATAGAAAAAAATTTTTTTAAACTAACACAGCACAGCTAACTATTGTATTCCCCATTTTTACAATTGCAGAGCCAACACAACCTTTCAAAGGTTTTAATTTGATTGCTAAAAAAATAATTTTAAATAAATTTCAAAAAATCAAATAATTAATCCATACCCAATTCTCGAAATTTTCGTTTACTCAAATTTGCAGTCTCAATCAACTTTCCACTTTCCAAATTTGTTTGACAATTTTCTGCAGCAGCAAGTGAAAATATATCTGTCAAAGAACATTGTTCAGTTGAAAATGTTTTTGAAGTTGTCATTTAAAAAATAAATTTATTTAAAATAATTTAATTTAAAAATCTGAAATTTCAATTTAAATAATCAATATTAATTAAGAGAAAAAAAATAAAATTAAAAATTTTGACTTGGGAAAAAAACTTAAATTGTCTTTAAAATGCTTAAAATATACCTATAAACATTTTTAAAAATAAAATTAAAAGTGTATAATAATTTATTTATTGAAAGAAAAACATGGAAAGTCCTTCTCCACAGACTAGGGATCGAACCCAATCCTAAATCAAAAAGGAGATTGGTAAAGCCTAACACCTTAACCACTTGACTACACAATTCAATAAAGGGAGACTTAAAATTTTAGGGATAATTCTTTAAATTTTCTATTAATCTCATCATTTGCTGCACCAAATTGGCCGCGCGCATAATCGGTCGCGCCTAATCGGGCTGTACCAAAAAAAAGTTTTATGTCATTAAATTCTCTGTTGAACATATTTTCTTATTTTCCTTTCCTGCTAATTTTTTTTTATTTTCAGGGTTTGGGTTAGAAAATTGTGACTGTTGGAACAACATCAGAAACTACACCAGCTTCACTTTCGACAACAACTGAACGTCCTCTAAACCATGTTGTTTACCGCTGTCATCGTCAAATTAGCGAGCTTATAACTTGTATTGGAAAAATTTTCTGCAATGCAAGTGTATTGAAGGTGAGACAACGTTTAGCGATCAGTTTGCAATTAAGTCATGAGACAATAAAGAAAGATTTTCGAAATGTGAGCACATTAATTCTTGGAGGTGTTCAACGATTACTACAGACAAACGGAATTGATAGTAGCATTAGGTAAAAAGTTTTGAGTAGGGTTGTTCCCTGACGGGGAAGGGAGGGCCACGGGAAACAATTTTCGGGGAGGCAGAGCCACAGAGGGTGGCGGGACGGGCACGGCGAAAATTTTTTCTTTATTCACGCAGGGGTGGGGGTGGGGAATTTTCAAAAAATCTCAAATTCCCCGACTTTCGGAGACGGGGAACAACCTTAGTTTTGAAGTTTATTTTTCTAACATTCTTTTAAAAAACGTTTTTCAGTGCTTTATACTTCACTACACCACTCAATTTTCTCAAAAAATTCCTTATAGATGATATTAATAATATTCAGCAATTGCTGCCAGATTTCTATTTGTCTGGCTGTTACAAAAATTTCTTCGCTCTTGTGACAGATTGTTTTAAATCAAACATTACTAAAGGTTATATAATTTAAAAAAAATTTTTTGATATTTATTTTTCAGAGGAATTTACCACAATTATTCATGCATGGCTCAACATTGCCCAAAAATTCTCGTCACCAAATTTGGCAACTCAGCGAAATGGTGTTCAACAACTACCGCCGCAGCAACGGATAACTGTTGATGGTTTTGAGTTGAAAAATTTTTTGGCAATTGCACAGAAGGTTAATAGATGCTAATTAATAGAAGTGACTGCTTCTTTAGGACACCTTTTCTGCTATTTGTTCAATGTTAAAAGAGCTAATGAAGCATTGCGAGACATTCTCTGATGACCCATCAATGCCATCAACTTCTACTAGTAGTGACAAGGACAAGGGTGGTAACGAACAAGCAGCTTTCAAATTATTGGAAAAGTTATTGGAATTTATGAAAGGATTACTTAAAGATATGATGAAATTATTGGAATTAACTGAAGGCAAATCTGAAGCGCCAGCTGAAATCCCTGTTGGCGAAATTGACCCGGCTAAGGTTTTGTTTATTTCTAAATTAATAAATAAAATAATAACCCCCTCAGATTCAACAACTTGTAGAAATGGGCTTCTCGCAAAGCGATGCTGTTGACGCTCTTTTGGTGACATCATCAGTGCCAGAAGCAGCTGAACATTTGGTTAGCATGCTAGAAAGGAATCCTACAGGTCTAGGTTAGTCATCTACAGTTATAGTTGAAATGCTTAAAATATTTTATTAGTTCCACCAGTTGTCGCAGCATCAGCAGCATTAGCAGAAGAAATCGCAGCAAATGCAACAATAGAAGCAGCTCTGGCTCCAAAACTTTCTGCCCCAAAAGCTTTTGATGATACTCAAAAACGGGAGAGTACACTTATGGAACAAGATACTCCTTTGAGCGCGCTAAAGCCTCTGAACAGGGATGATCTTCAGGTTTTTTTTAGAAATTGAGTGCAGTTATAATTTTAATTTTTATAGGAGAGAGTAGAGTTTATTTGCAAAGATATTGTCACGCATTGCCTTCGTCTTCTCAACAAAAATCGTTCTGTTGTTCTGGGTTTAGCAGAGTTGATAACTATTTTTGCTGAGGATCATTTAGCGCGTTCCTATGCTCTCGTCGGAACCGTTGATACCAATGTACTTTTACTATTTTCTATTTTAATTTAATCTTTTTTCAGACTAATCAAGCGGAGTTGGTTGAACGTGTTCGTCAAGTGAGTTTATTTTATGTAATTGAAAAAGGCTATATGGGGGATTTTTAGAGGGGGAAAAATTTGGGCATATAAATTGTTATTTTCATTGGGTACTTTTTAAAAAAGGAAAAGGGCTTGGGTTATAGGTGTAAACTTTTTTGTACCTTTTTATTGTACGTACGCCGTACAATACACTTGATTATAAGTAAACGAATTTTATAAAACTTTTTTAGATGGGGATTGATGTCGGTTGGAATCGAGACGCAATCATTCAACTCCAGACCAATGTGGACACGCTTATGCGTCGCGAGAAAGAACGTGAACTGGAGAAGAAGAAGGAACGAAGCAAGACTCCTAGTCCCAACAGTTCTCCAGGAAAGGCGGGTCAGAAGGTTTCTCCAGCGAAGATGAGTCCGAAGACTTCCCCGGCTAAGAAGTGAATATTTTTTTTGGAAGAACGAAAAATGGCTGTTAATTATTTGTGGATTTGAATATGGTTTTTTTTACTTTCTAAAATTAATTTTTATTTGTTTTGTAAGGTGGTGATGCTCTCAATCGTTCTTCTTTGGTGCCCGTTCTTTTAGGCGTTGTCAAAACCTATTCACTTCCTGAACAATATGTTAGATATGTCACTCGGTCTGTTCGTATAATTGACATTTTAACGGGAATAGACGTTGCCCAATTTAATTCCAATGGTGGAACTGATGCGATTATAAAGAGATTTTCGGTTTGTTTTGTTTTTGGGAGCAAGCCAACTTACCGCAGAGCGATAACTTTGTTCAGAAAAATTCGGGACGCTTTGATATGTTCGATGCGCCACGACGAGCTGAATCGAACCATACCAGGGCGT